TTGTATGCACATATGAATAATAAAAGAAAAATGAAAAAAAAAACAATTTAAAAAACCAAAAAAAAAAAAAAATGGCACTGAGGAAGGCAGAAATCCAAGGTGGCTCCCCAGATTCCCAGTCTCTGCTGCACAGGCCATGGATAACCTGCTCCATAGGACCTAACAATGTAATGCACATCACGTCCATAATTATAACAAAGGTGGAGGATTTCTGCAGGTATAATTAAGGTTACAAAACAGTTGAGGAGTTGAGTTGTCAGATAAAATTTCTCAAAAGAGAGACTAAAGTAGGCCTTTTTGAAATGTCAGACTGTCTCTCCCTCTGGCTTTAAAGAAGCAAGATGCCACAGGTTCTAAAGGTATAAAGAAGTGAATTCTGCCAACAACCAGATGAGCTTGGACAAGGACCCTGGGCCTCAGCTGAGACCATAGCCTTCTGAGATCCAGAGAAGAGAGTCCAGCTAAGCCGACCCTGGACTCCTTACCATGTAAATTGTGAGATAATGAGCATATGCTATTTTAATCCACTAAATTTAGCAATAGAAAACTAACACAGGCAGCATCCCTCTTAACTTATTTTAGCAATGGCAAATATAAATAAAAGAAATTAATATAGGGTATCCTTCATTCTGCAGAGGAGAAAGGTACTGAGATTTCCCATAGCTAGTGTAACAAATTACCACAACCTTGGTAGCATAAAATAACAAAAATTTATTTATCATAATTCTGGAGGCTACAAGTCACAAATCAACATGCTTGGAGGGCCATGTTCTCTCCAAAGATTCTTTTCCTTGCCTCTTCTAGATTCTATGGCTGTCAGCATTCCTAGACTGCATCTATATCACTCCAGTCTCTGCCTTCATGGTCATGATGCTTCCATTTTAACTCGTATCTCTTGCAAGACAACTGTCATTCGATTTAGGGCCCACCTGAATAATTTCCTCATCTTGAGATCTTTAATTACATCTGCAAAGACCCTTTCTTGAATGAATAAAGATAATATTTACAAGTTTCAGGATTAGGATGTGGAAATATCCCAAGAAATAGGTCATTCAGCCCATTATAGGTACATAGGCAAAAAGAAATTTCATCCATATACTTACTCCTTTGCTTACTGGAGAGCCCTCATAGGTCTCATATGGGCCAAGTTCCTTGGCTAGGTCACAGCTGGCTTCCAAGGCTCCATAATAAATAGTTTCAAAGATTTGCTTATTCAATAACTGGGCCTCTGCACTCTCAAAAGGATACCTCATCAGGATAAAAGCATCTGCTAGACCTTGTACTCCAATTCCAATGGGGCGATGGCGTTTATTTGATAAATATGCCTTGGTGACAAAAATTTAGAGGAAAAAGAGAAAACATTATTGAGCACAAAAAGTAACATTCTGTACCAATAATACACATTACTTCTTTGTTTTTTGAGACATGATCTCGCCCTGTAGCCTATGCTGGCCTAGAACTCACTATGTAGCTCTGGTTTGTCTTAAACTCAGGATCCTCCAGTCTCAGCCTTCTAAGTGCTGGGGTTACAGGTGTGTATCACCTCCCCTAGCCACACATTACCTCTTCATTTCAGTTTTCTTGCCCCATTCCAATAACAACCAGTTAAATTATGACTTTCAGATCATGATAAACACTCTCCATCCTGGATTTCCATAATTACCAATAAGGAGAAAAGTCTATTCATACCTCTGGAACAGGGTAGTAGTTTATATCAATAATTTTATTCAAATTTCGAACAATGACTTTAGTGACTTCAGCCAGTTTCTTAAAGTCATAAGTGTGTTCTGATGTGACATACATATTCAGGGCCAAGGAAGCCAAGTTACAAACTGCAACCTGGAATGCAGAGAGAAGGGGTTAAGGATCACACAACTTTCATTTCTTCTCCCCATGTCAATGAGACTACTATAAGCCTCTAATACCCTCAGACATGAAAATTTTAATCTTTCACTTTTCTCTTCATCATTCACCAGTACATTTCTAATTCCCATGGATTCAATCTCTTCAATACTCAGTCATATATGTGAGTTGTAACATACACCAGTGAAATTGGTAAGATGGAGAGAGAATTGTGTTCCACAGTACAAAGTTCTATTGCACTGTGATAAAATTAATTTTTATGTACATCTGTCTAAGTATTTAGTAGATATGTACTGTCCACTATGGTAGCCACTAGCTACATGTAGCTACTTAACAAAAAAATAAAAATTTGAAATCAATTTCTAAGAACTAGTCATATTTCAAGTTCTCAATAGCCACAAGATATATAGTATTTCCATCACTGTAGAAAGCTCTTCCAAAATACCCATCTATCTCACCTCACTGACAAGCCCTTAACAACACAGGATCCACATTTGGGGATTCTGAAAAAGTCACTCAGATGATTCTTCCACTACAGTAGGTAGTGACCTTCTCAGGCAGGGATTATATCATTTTTCCTTCTATTTTTAGAACTAATACCACATCTGGCATACAATAAGTGCTTAATAATCAATACACCTTTTTCATTTTGATTACGACTCTCTCAACCAAGGTCTCAACTCTTCTTATCTTAAATACTGAAATAGTTTCCTAACTGGACTTCTTGATGCTCTTCACATCTACTCCACTCTACACATGTTGCCTCATACTCATTTTTAAAATACAGCTTGGATCATGTAAGTATAATATATGCTAGGGAGAAAAAATTTAGGCAGAAAAAGACAGAGTAATGGAGAGTAAGGATAAAGGAAGTGTCATTTTAAAATACAATTGTCAAGAAAGATTCACTGAAAACATGACACATGAGCAAAGAATTGAAGAGACTGGAAAGCAAAGCTGTGCGGCTTACAAGGGGGAAAAAGCATTCCTAACTTCAAGGTTGAGTAAAGAGCAAAAATCCTGATGCAAGAGCATGCTTGACATGTTTGAGGAACAGTAAGAATATTAGTAGGGCCAAAGTAGTGAGAGTGACAGGAAAATGGCAGGTAAGGTAGTAGTATCCATTGTGTAGAACCTTACAAGACACTGTAAGCACTCTGGATGGAAAGGAATGAAGTACAGATGGATACATGCTACAATGTGGATAAGCCTTGAGAACATACTAAGTGAAAGAAGCCTGACACAAAAGGCCACATATTATATGATTGCTCCATTGAAACAAACTTACTTGATACCCTTTCCCCAAAAACCAGTCTTACCTCTATCTGTCATATAGGGCATTCTTCCCAAGTAGAAAGCCTTTCCCTAAACTTTTTTTTTTTTTTTTAATGGTTCTGGGTATTAAACCTAGTACCCTGTGCCATGAGCTCTATCACATGCTATTATTATTATTATTAAAAATAAATCTATGTCCCATTTCTAGACTTGACTCTTGTGAAATCACCTTAGAGATCTGAGATTAGAATTTTGTCTCAACATTCTCTAAAAGGACTCTCTACATGTTAATTCATTTAAAACTGCATGAGCATCCTAACACATTATTGTTTTTCTGAAACTCCATAACTAAATATTACTACTTTTATCAAGTAAATAGTATTACAATGATGTGAGTACAAGAAAAAAAACTAATAGTCTATCATACTTGCCTTAGAATAAGAACTATTTACAGGTAGAGATCATGCCTCTTATATTCTTTGTAATCTGTATATTTTAGCACTCTTTAGCTAATCAACAAACTGAAAACTGTCACCCATATTAAGAGAAATTAAGTGAGGATTCACAAACATAACTGCCTAAGAATTTTCTCTTAGTATCTAGGCATAAGTTTTTCTACCTACCTCATCTTTGCTGGTATACTCTACTATTTCTGTGCATAGGTTGCTGCATTTGATTGTTCCCAGGTTTTGCTGGTTGCTCTTCCGATTGCAGGAATCTTTGTAGAGCATGTATGGGGTACCCGTCTCTGTCTGAGACTCAATGATGGCATACCAAAGCTGCTGAGCTTTTACAACTTTGCGGACCCGGCCCTGTTTCTCATAACTGAAAGCGAAAGCTAGTATTATTTTAATATTTACTTCCTAGAAAAATAAAGATACTAAAATATAAAATGATGCAAACTCTTAAATTTCTACTAAGTTTTACTAATAGAAAAAAAAGGAAAATAATGTTCATTTTACTCTGGTTAAAGCCACAGGAAAATAAGACAGCTTTCAATTCCTTCAAATGACCTTTTAATCCCTCCAATCAACATCTTTCATAATAAAAAGGAAAGAAACTATTGTCAAATATTGAAAACTAGTAACATTGCTAGAATTTACCTTAATTTGTGTAAGGATCATTTTAAAAACCAAAGCACCTACTTGCATGTCCCAAAGTTTCAAGAAAGAAGACAGGAACCAATTTTGATGAAGAGTCAGAAAATAAATTTGACCAAAATTAAATTTTAATCACATTCTTCTCTAGAAGCACCCAAAGATTCCTAGAACCAGGATAATGACTTAAATACTTTTTGGGTTTTCTTTTGTTTTGTTTTTATAATGCTAAAGATCAAACCCAGGGCCTCACTCAGGCAAGTGCTCTACCAGAGCCACATTCCCCAGCCCTACTTAAATGTGTTTGATATTCCCATTTTTCTCATACCTTTCATATAACTTCTCAAATTCCTCTCCCCAAACCTCATCCAGACCAGGACACTCATTTGGACACATCAAAGACCAGTCCTACAAAGGGAAGAACAGCACCACCCATAAGAAACTTCAAATAACCAACCATACCCATTAGAAATACTGTGAGGAAAAGGTAGCTTTCATAGGCTGTCCTGGAAATTTGTTACAGAAAAAATCATTTTAGGCTCAGGCCCAAAAATCTAGTTTTGTCTGTTTCTACATAACCTTCTAAACATTTAGGTCAGATAGCATCTACTATCAAGAAGATAGGCCAGGTGCCAGTGGCACACACCGATAATCCTAGCTATTCAGGAGGTAGAGATCAGGAGGATTGCAGTTTGAAGCCAACCCTGGGCAATTAGTCCGAGATACCCTATCTTGAAAACAAAACCCATCACCAAAAAAAGGGGGGCTGGTGGAGTGGCTCAAGGTGAAGGCCCTGAGTTCAAACCCTAGTACCATAACAAAAGGGAAAAAAAAAAAAAGACAGAAATTCAGGAAGACAGGCACAGCATCTATCTTGTTCAGAATGTCGTCTGTGGAGTCGCATGTAAGTGGGTTCTACCCAGACTGAAGGAGAAGTTACTAAGAATCAAGTCACTATTACCAACAGGTATCCATCCCTCTCACCTGATTAGTCTCTACACGTTTCATGAAAAGATCTGGAATCCAAAGGGCAAAGAAAAGATCCCTTGCACGCTGTTCCTCCTTTCCTGTGTTCTTCTTTAAATCAAGGAACTCAAAGATGTCTAAGTGCCAAGGCTCCAGGTAAATAGCAAATGCTCCAGGACGCTATGGGTAAATAAATCATCATTCTTTTCAGAATCAAAATAAAACAAAAGAATAAAAGAACTTCCTATTTTCCACTTTTATAATATCTCCTTTGATCTTCACTATAATTAATGAATTAAGTGAAATTCATTCACTCCCTTCCTTCCTCCCTCCCCCCTTCCTTCTTTCCTTCCTTCCTTTGTTTAAAGAAACCTAGAACATATATTATAACCCAATGTCAAGGTTACATATAAATATCAGTCACAACTTGAGAAAATTTTTGTAAATACAGTCATGTAAAAATGCTAAATAGTGGAGAGGATGAACCAAACCGGAGTACATAATACATATATATGGAAATGTCACAACCCCTGTATAATTATTATGTTAATAAAAATGTTTTAAAAATGCTGAATAGATCAGTAGCTCCCTATGCCAAGCAGGCACTCTATCATCTGAGTCACACCCCCAGTCCTAAGCAAACATTTTGGGGTAATGGAAGTGCTCCTCATCTTAGTTGGCATGATGATTTCTCAAGGGCCATTTGCCAAAACCCATCCAACTGTACATTTAAAGTGTGTGCAGTTTAAAATAAGTAATTTGTCTCCTTAAGTTGACTTTCAAAATTAAAGGGAGCTGGTGGAATGGCTCAAGTGGTAGAGTGCCTGCCTAGCAAGCATGAGCCCTGAGTTCAATCCTCAGCAACTCAAAAAAGAAAAGTCAATTATGAAAGTACTTCAGGGGCTAAAGAGACATCTAAGTGATAAAGCATTAGCCTAGCAAGTATGAGGCCTTTGGTTCTTTCTCCAGCACCCAAAAAAAGTATTAAAAATAAATAAAAATAAGGGGAAAATAAAAACATAATATTCAAGACCAGCCTGGACTACACAGCAAGACCCTGTCTCAAAAAAAACAAAACAATAGAGCACTGCAGTTCTTGTCTATAATATTAACTACCTGAGAGGTGGAAAGGAAAAAGATTGCAGTCCAAGGCTAGCTCAAGCGAACAGTTGGCAAGACCCTTATCTCAGCCAATAAAAAGCGAGACATGGTAGTATGTGACTGTCATTCCACCCATGCAGGAAGCGTAAATAGGAGGACTGTGGCCCAGGCTGGTCTGGGCCTAAAGCAAGACCCTATTTTTAAAATAACCAAAGCAAAAAGGACTGGTGGCATAGCTCAAGTGGCAGAACACCTGCCTAGCAAGCTCAAGGCTCTGAGTTCAAACCATGGTACTGCCAAAAAAATAAACAAAAAAAGGTCACCACCACCAAGAAAAGAACACTTAGAAAATATACATAATTGAGCCAATTTATTATTATATATTTAGTTCTGTATTTCCAGTACTTTGAAGTAACAGTGCATACCTTGTTTCCACCTTGATCCACATATCGAGCTGTGTTGTTATACACTCTTAGCATGGGTACAAGGCCATTAGAATTGCCATTAGTCTGAAAGAAAGATCAAGAATAAAGGCATCTGGAGGAAACAGAAAGGCTCAGCAAGGAAGAGAACAAAATGTCCCAAAGGTGAACAACTCTTTCCTAATTTGTTGTCAAAAAGGGTGCCTAAAAAAAGAATTAAATTCAGGTTAGAAGCTCAAAGACAAAAAAAAAAAGGAGGGGGGAGGAAATTTCTATGCAGCAAACTATGATCTTTTACCTGCTCTCTATCTCCATTTCTGATATGAAAACTAATGACCCATACAAAATCAACAAAATATTGCTGAATAAATCACAATTGTATACTATGTTACTTCATCTCATATCTAATTTTACAGTAAGATAAAAACTGTAAGACAAAAGAACTCAAAATCAAGGTAGCTAAATTTAAACTCTACAACCTCCTAAAGGTCATTATATGAAGACATACTTTGGGTATAAAGAGTACAAAAGCATAGTACTGTAATACCTTTTTCCCAAAAGAATTCAAGGCAATTTGCATAAGAATTATATGCAATGACTATATCAAGACAACACAGAAAGTAAATGGAGATTCTCAGAATGAGAAGAAAATAGAAAACAGAATGTTATTACTAGATTATACTTCATCAAACTCTAAATGATCCTTTTAACCCTTGGTAAGTCTTTAAACAGTTGAGAAAGATAAGATAGCAATGGCTTACTGTACTATTGTGAACAAGTTCTGTATATATTACATCACCTACAAAAAGCCACATACATCATGGAATAAGTTTCTTTAGGAACTTTACTCCATACAGTTAAATATTTTCTTTACATTACTGATGAGGAAACAAACTCATAGATATAAAATATAACTTGCCCTAGATCATGTTACTAATAGATAGTAGAGACAGGATTTAAATTCAAACTTTATCCAAAATCATTATCTTGATTCCCAGTGAACAGTGAACTAGCAAAGGGCTAGACAGCATCAAAAAATACCAATGTTTAAAGCTTGAATCCTCACTCTACCATATAGTAAGTGATTGATCCCTGTACTTAACTTTCTAAGTCTCAGTGTCTTCATTTGTAAAATGAAAACACTGGTGCTTACACTCACAAGATTATTGTAAGGAATAAAGTTCTTAGCAAGCATTTGTAATGGTAGATTATCTCATAGGGTTACAATATGGATCAAATGAGTAATTCATGTAAAACATTTATAATAGATAGCACATAGTAAGCAATCAATAAATTACCCCTGGAATTATTGTTGCTAAAAACAAATCAAAATTCTAAAATCTGAGTTAAAAAGGACTCTGGAGATCATCTACTATAACCTAAGCCTCTAATAAGACAGATGAAAACGAAGCCAGAAGAAGTAAAATGTGTCATTCCCAAGTCAGATGACTATCTAGTAATGAACAGAAATCCAGATCTCCCAAACACTAGCATTATGAAACTATGCCCTCTAGACCATAAGCATGGTTGCTTTTGGATTTGAATTCCCATTTTAGAAGTCATAGGACAGATGCTTACCCCAGCAATGTAGCTGCCAGTAGCCCGAATACAACTCACAGCAACACCAATTCCCCCAGCAGACTTAGAAATCAATGCACATTGCTTTAGAGTATCATAAATGCCTTCAATGCTATCATCTTTCATACTCAGAAGGAAACAGCTATGAGGGAAAAAAGGGACAACCCAAAGCAAGAAAATTATTAGACAATTTAAAGACTAAAGTGAAGCAAATGAAAGATTTGAAGTTTACAAGGTTGCTAAGCTTTTATACAAGGGGAAAAAAAAAACTTTTACTGAATATGAGATAATGAAACATATCAACTTTTCATATTATTTTAAAATTACTTTTTTTTTTTTGACAGTACTGGGGTTAAACTCAGGGCCTCATGCTTGCTAGCCAGGCCATTTATACCACTTGAGCGACGTTCCCAGTTATTTTGAGATAGGATCTTGCTTTATGCCCAGGCTGGTCTGGAGAGCAATCCTATTTACACTTCCTGTGTACTTGGGATCTCAAGTAGACACTCACACCCAGTTTTTATTGGCTGAGATAGGATCTTAATAACTTTTTGCCTAGGCTAACCTCAAACTGCCATCCTCCCCATCTCTACCTCCTCAGTAGCTAGGATTACAGCCTTGAGCCAATGTGCCTGGCTAAAATCACCTGCTACCTACTAAGTATAACACTTAGGAGGAAGTCTAAAATAATCAGCTTACATTTTCACTAGACTACACATAACATCATTACATTTTTCTCATGCAAATTTTAGCATACATTAGTCTTCTCAACTTGTTAGTAAGCCAAGAAAAATGAAATATTTTGAAAAAATAAACATCAACCCAATGGCCAACCAATTCTTGATATGTCCAGTATAATTAAAGCTCCCTCACAGTTTTTTTTGTTTTTGTTTGTTTTTAAGATGACCCCTCTGTCTGCAGTTTGGGTCTCATCCTGCTCCCAAATCACAAACCTGACTCTACCAGTGAGTCCTTCACCATCTTGAATATTTAACTACTCAAATGTATTCTACCCATTGACTTTCTATGAAATATTCATACATTCAGAAAGATACAGAAAATAATGTAACGAAAACTTTGTGCTCACCCTCCAAGAAATTAGACACTACAACTGTAATTGTAATCCCCTAACATTTTCATGCACTTCTACTTCAGCATTTTTACCTTTTTTTTTTTTGGTAGCACAGGGCCTCACACTTGCTAGGAAGGTGCTCTTACCACTACAGCCACTCTACCAGCCCATACTTCAGCATTTTTATATGTTCTACATTTAAAGCATTTCTGGTTGTATATTTACTTATCCTTCTGCAGCTTGCTTAAAACTAATTGTGTTATAGTGATTCACTCCTATTCACGCATGTAGCCTTATTTATTTATTTTCATTGTTATAAGGTATTCCATTGTATGAATATCCTACTAGTACAGGAGTCTGTTGAGGGACATTGCATATTGCATTTTTTTTTTTTAAGGTAAGGTCTTGCTATGTAGTCCAAGCTGGCCTTGAATTCTTGATCCTCTTGCCTCATCCTCTTGAGTGCTGGGATTAGAGGCATGTACCACCACTCCCAGCCCTGCTATAAACATTCTTAAAACACAGCTGGGTGCCAGTGGCTCATGCCTGTAATCCTAGCTATTTCAGAAGGCAGAGATCAGGAAGATTGTAGTTGAAGGCCAGTCTGGGCAAAAAAGAAGACATTATCTCAAAAATATCCAACACAAAAAAGGACTGGTGGAGTGGATCAAGTGGTAAAGCACTTACCTAGCAAGCCTGAGGCTCTGAGCCCAAATTCCAGTACTGCCAAAAAAAAAGAAAATTCTCAAACATAAAGCCTTGTGCTTTTGTCTAAGAATTACTGTGGTTAAACCTAGGAGGGGAATTGCTGAGTCAAAAGATATGCACATGTGACTGGGGATGTGGCTCAGTGGTAGAGTAACTTGCCTAGCATATGTGAAGCCCTGGGTTTGATCTTCAGCACTAAAAAAAGACATGTCCATGTTCCACTTTCTAAAGATTCTCCAAGGTAAATGGATAAATACTACACTTTATCTAGCAATGTTTGAGATTTCCCTGTGTTCCACTTTCTTGTCTATTATCTCTGCCTTTTAACTTTTATTAACCTGATGAATGTGTAATATCTTATAATTTTCACTTTCCTAATTATTAGTCTATTTATATTTCATGTGTTTATTAGACAATCAAATTTCTTCTTCTATGTATTATTTGTTTATATCCATCCTTTTCCTATTTCTATTTGGTTTTGTGTCATCTTCTTATAATCTATTCCTAGCTAACATGTTCCAAATATATTCTCCCAGTCTATTATTTGATTTTTTTCCTTTGGTTTTGGTTAACAGCTTTTTATTTTAAAATAGTCAATTTTTCCAAATTTTTGTTTCATGGTATTTTGCTTTCAATCTTATTTTAAGAAATCCTTCACCAATGAGGCCAAATATAATCTATCAAAACATAAGTTGAAGGGCAAGGGAAATAGCCCAGTGGTAGAGTCCTTGCCTAGCACATCAGACCCTGAGTTCTATTCCCAGAACAGCAAAAAAAAAAAAAAAAACCAGTAAGTTGAAGTATTAAGAGTCATGATGAAAGTCAACTTATTTTCAAATGTCTCAGCAAAAACAAACAAAAAACCC